AACACGGACAAAGGCCCGCAGTCCCCTTCACCGTGAGCTCTGGTTCGCCGTCCATGCCTCAGCTTTTCAGATGCGCCGAAGATCGCAAAGCAGCCGAAGGGGGCTTGGCGGTGTCCTCTCGCGCTTGACAAAGACACGGCGATGACGAGACAAGGTGGTGCGCCCGGCCGCAAGACTTGGCAACCCTGACCAGGAACTCGGCGCCGCACGCCACGCAGATGCCAGTCGCAATGGGCTGGAAGGAAGGGTCCGGCTGGCCCACTTGGGCTGCCCCGAGGATTGGTTTACCTGCGACCGAGATATCCTCCGACGTGCGTCGCGTTCTAGCGCACGTCCTCGATGTGCTCGGGGATGCCCGGCCAGATCTTGATATCGCGGCCCGTGCCCTGGCACAATGTGGGGCACGCGAAGCACCTCACACGGCAGCGTTGGCGGCACAAGCACCCGACCGCTTCACAACCCGTCGTTGTTTGAGCAGACCACTGCAAGCGTACCTGACAGAGCGTTTGTAGTGTATCCGGTGAGCCACGACGAGATCTTGGGATCAACCAGACCGGGGAGCCGGATGAGCAGATAGAGGGTCCCTGTCCTTCAGCGCGTCCTCATTGACACGCTTCCTCGAGTCCGCCCCGGGTCTGATTGTCGAAGCCGTTGCAGAAGCCACCACGTGGATGGTCAGACAATCAGCGCCTGCCTGGACGTCGATGGTCAGACAATCAAGCGCCGGCCTGGACGTCGATGGCCAGGCCATCAGCGCCAGCCTGGACGTCGATGGTCAGACAATCAGCGCCTGCCTGGACGTCGATGGTCAGGCCATCAGCGCCAGCCTGGACGTCGATGGTCAGACAATCAGCGCCTGCCTGGACGTCGATGGTCAGGCCATCAGCGCCTGCCTGGACGTCGATGGTCAGGCCCTCAGCGCCTGCCTGGACGTGCGATGGTCAGACCATCAGCGCCCTGCCTGGACGGTCGATGGTCAGGCATCACGCCTGCCATGGACGGTTGATGGTTCAGGACCATTAACGCCCTGGCTGAACACGCAACGGCGGCCAGAGTGCTCCTGATGACCGCAGTGAAGAGTAGGGTGATAGCTAGCGAGCACGTATACGTGCACATGGCGCTTCTAAGGGGAAGTGATACTTATATCACTATTGTGGAGAGCGGTTTATGTACTTTATGATCTGTTTCTTGTGGGCTGCAGTCTAATTAAAAGTGTTTCGTCTTTTCCGTGAAAATGGAAACCAAAACATCAATTCGGGCCTGTCGGTTGTACCGTGCGTTCTCGATTTAACACTGCTTCAGGTTTGCAAGGAAATTGTAGAAAGATAAGGCAGGCAAGTTGTGCGTATGTGAAGCTTCTGTTTTTTATCACAGGCTGGGCAGAAAGGTCCATGCCACCGCGTAAACCTAAAGGTTTTAGCCTTTAGCCTTTTTTTAGCTTACAGGATTCGCACACATGTGGTATCGAGCTGAAGCGAACATCCACGTGGAAAAATGTAGCACATAAGATCTCTCGTGACCTTGGCCCTGGAATTTTGTATCTAGGCCAAACAAAGCGCAGCATTCATGACTGACGTGCCATGCTCGTGGTGCCATATGTTTGCAATTCTGGTAGCATAATTTATATATCACAGTTTACAACAGTATGAGTCATTTTCTGGTATCGTACCGGGTATGGCTCATCGCATGGTTCCGGCTTAGCCGCCTATGTATTGTGCAGCCCTTAGCAGCTCTTGGCGTAGTGCTGTGCGTGGGGTGTTATAATGCGGAAGCTCGGGTGAATTATGACTTTGGCATTTTTTCAGTGGCAATGTCTGCACATATTCGGAAAATTCTCTGGATTTGCGTGACTTGGTTTTAGATGTATTGTTTTGCCTCGCTCACTTTATTTACCTGAGCATGAGCACAACTCGGAACGTATAGCCTTGATTATAGAACTAATTGTGTTTGAGAACGTCGTTCAGTCGGTACGTTCCGGCGCATTGAAGAGCGATGACTATCATCACATGAACTCTTAGCTCATGGTGACAAAGCCGAGAGATTAAGACCTTTCGTGCTTATTTCAAGCGCAAATTTCCGAAAGTGACGATTGATTGGAGTTTCTCAACTGTTAACTGTGGGTGGCCAATGTATGGAATTAGTCGAATATCTCAAATCGGCTGGTAACTAGTCTCGAATCGGCTGCTTAAACAACATCGGCAGCGTGTTGAGGGTGTCGAGGCTCTCGAGTCGGCGCTTAATAAACAACATCGGCAGCGTATTGAGGGTGTCGAGGGTCTCGAGTCGGCTGCTTGATAAACAACATTGGCAGCGTGTTGAGAGTGTCGGGGGTCTCGAATCGGCTGCTTAATAAACAACATCGGCTGCGTGTTGAGGGTGTCGGGGGTCTCGAATCGGCTGCTTAATCACAACATCGGCAGCTTGTTGATGGTGTCAAGGGTCCCGAGTCGGCTGTTTAATAAACAACATCGGCTGCGTGTTGAGGGTGTCGAGGGTCTCGAATCGACAGCTGTCTTTGTACTAGTGCACGTGACCACGATCGGCTCATCGTCATACCAGCGCTGCCGCCGCCGTCCGAGGCGGAGGGGGCGCCACCATCCGCCAACGGGTGCCACCTCCGCCACCACACGCCACCGCGGCGCTCCGCCTCCGCGCACGTCTCCACGCGGGCGCACCTGTGTCCACTGCAGGAGATTTCAACAGGACTCGTTGAAGTCCCAGGTCTCGCTGGCAGAGATCTCGCTCGCCAACAAGACCTTTGTTGGCAGCCGGCAACGAACTATGAGGCGGATTGACGGGTAAATTAAGGCCTTGAAACTGGTGGTGGGGGGGGGGGGGAGGGGACAGCATCATCATTCACTTCACAGGTATGTGGCAGCCATAGGTGAAGGAACGAGATCCTTGGGTGCCATGGCATCCTCACTTTCCGTGAATACTGAGCATTGACTAGGGCGACGCTTTGAAAAATCGACCGCAAATTGTTTCCGGCAACCCACGTCCTGGAATGTTCTTCCGCCTTGGCTGTAACGTTCTGTTTATTCGTTTTCTCTCACTCTCCCAATATTTTTTTCCTCATAGATGTGCGCGGGTTGCCCACTGGGGGCGGGCTGGGCCGGTTTTACTGTAAAACTTTCACCGTAAGCCAAAGTTGGCGCGCCAGGCGCGGGTGTTTCCGTGCTTAGCGTAAAACAGCATCGCATGCCTTCAATCTGCTTAGTTGTACTGGACTGATTTTATTGTGTAACTCTCTAGCATGCATATGGCAAACGGGACTTCAGCATTTCAAGACGGCTCTTGTATTTAGTTCGTTTTCGTCTGTTGCTTTGTTTAACTCCCGGGCGACATCACCATGCCAACCACCATTATAATATGTGAGATTTCACCCTTTCAAGAACGTGTCGCCTGCTTCGTTTGTTTCTGTGCTTTCTTATACGCTCTTGCTTTGACTCCAAATCGTGGCGACATCCCTCATGCTGGCCGTCTGGGACCTTGGAGCACTGGCTCCTCATTTTTCCGCAATATGATCATGATCGCCAGGCAGGTTCCTCACGGACACACAATGGCAATCACGAGATTCCCGCAGGCCAGCCCGCATAAAAGCAACAAGCGCCGTGATTGTAATAATTTAGATGCAGTTCACGTATGCTTTAAAGTTTCGTGCATGCACATGGCGTGTGATGAAAAATGTTTTGAATACGTTTATGAGTGATAGAGTTGCATGGTAATGATAACTCCATGGTGATGATGTCAGAAATAACTCTTTGGGTACTCATTTGCCGAATGGGTCGATCCAGGATTTTGTGAAACAGATAACGGACACATATTGTAGTGCGTCTGGGATTTGGTGCCTCCCGAACATGAAAATTTGTGACCCTTTACGGTGTACCTGGAATTTGATACTTCTTGGAAATAAAGGCTATGGGGGGGGGGGGGGGGGTTCGAAGCAAAGCTTTGGTGCGACTCAGCGGGGCTCATGAGTGGCCCAAAAGGGGGGGGGGGGTATGGCATGGCCCCATCCATGCCTTCTCCCTCCCACCCTCAGGATACGCCCGTCTCCACTGTTCGATTACAAGCAGAATGAGACCATAAAATTGAGACAGTCCTGGAGCGATGTCATCACGTCATTGAACGCTCTTTAGCCTCAGTGACTGATACTTTCGGGATGAGCCCAAAAGCCACTTATTCGTTGCCTTCACGCACGCTCCTGGAGCGGTCACAAAACGGCACCGTTTGTTGGCACGTGCGGTGTCTACTATGACAGGCAGGCGCTGTGGCCAAATGATTTCTGATTGTTCTCCAGCAAGTTAGACGCCTGTTTTATCAAAACTGGGTGTGGAATTGGTATTTTCAGTTTAGAAGCTATAAGACACCTATGCAGAAACATTACTAAAATGCAAACGTCTGTCTGTTGTTCCGTGCTCATCCTCAAGAGATGAGCCCTTAAGGATGATCACAGATCATTATGTTGAGTATCATTTGTTATTAAGCACTACAATGTCGTTTAACCAGGACTTCTGAAAATGTTGAAGGTCGTTCACTTAAAGTAAGATTTTTGAGCTTATAACACCGAAAAACTGGAGCTGAAGGACATTCCTCCTTATATTAAATCTGAACCCTGGCCGCAAACTTAAGTGGACAAAATGCGTGAAGAAATGCATCTCAGAACTAGGATGGACGGGATATATGGGTTGCCCCACCTCCCAAACGAAAAATGAAAAGTTCCATCCCTGGTATTGTTAATAAACTAGGGGTAACGGGATCTACATGTCGTTGCCCAGGATACCTCACCCTGGCTGCGTCACGGGATTTCCGGAATTCTGGATGTCAAGGGCCAATCATGGACACTCTAGGGTGACTCACAACGGCGGTGTTCACAGTTAGCCTCTACTATTTATAATTTGGTACTCTCGTCCCTCACTGGGCGCGTCCAAACTGCGTCACTTACGTCAAAATATGAGCGTTGTTGCGCCATTATTTGTTTGGAGTAACAAAGTGGGGGCTGGCGGAGTCGTTCGTTTTGTACAACAGGTTTTTGTTTAGGTTATTCTGGAGGTAGTGACGTATGTTGATAACGTTTTGCTTGTGTCAGCTTTCACGTATCTATGCGGGGTCTTGTTTTTATGGCTGAATTGTTTAGTAACCGAAGTCAGGTTATTTGAGCGGATCTGTGGGAACATTTACAGATGAAGCTTCTGTTAACTTGCGATTTCCGGATTTTATAAGGTAGGTGTGTGGGGAAGTTTTTGAGAAGTGTTGGCAGTAGTTGCACGGACTATTTTAATGCCACTTGATTCACCCCAACAGCATTGCAGCCTGCATATGTTTTGAAATGATTCCAGCTTTTGCTGTTGATTTCACCAAACTGGGGTGATATTTAACAGATGTTATGATTCAGGGATATGACTAATAGTTCATGTGAGAGGTGAGGGTTGGGCATTCGAGGTGCATTATTGAATAGGCATCATACCCTAGTGTCTTGTAATGCATCCAGCTGAAAATTAGTGTCTCAATGTCACTTGCTCTTCTAGCAGAAAGTGTGTATCACTGATCAGGTAGCCAGATATGAACTTGAACTGAATACACATTTACATATAAGCAGTCCTGTGAGCTTATCTATTGTTTGACTGTGGGAATATGAAGACAAGTTACTTGCAATCATATGAATCAGTATTTTGGAAGAAAACCATGTTGGTGCTGTTACTATGGTTGGGCTGTGGAGAAGCATCATCTAATGTCAGCAGTGATGTAGTTTCCATTCCGTTCAGTGCTCCATTCTTTCCTCCTGTGCCTCACACCTGGTCTGCAGCTCCCAAATTTCAGAAGGATGTGGTGTTATCTGGGTAGGTATCATTGTGCCTGCTTAGTTGTAGGATGGGCCTTTGTCATTTTTTATAACCATGCCCAGCACCCCAATCTCATTTCACATAACTATATCTCTGATTGTCAGCATTAGCCTTCTATCTGTCATAATCTCTGCTGATAGCATTACAAGAGAGCACATTTTGGAAACCACAATGCTTTCCCTGCCTACCTATTGCATCACACATAGCCTGTTCAAATATGCTTCTAATCCTGCTTATGTTCCTGACTCCTTTGCTCTTGGTAATCCTGTTCTTAAGTTACCTAACAGCCTAAGCTTTACTAACTCCTCACACCACTGCCAAGCAACTGCTATTCCTGGCAAAAATATTAGGATTTCTTTACTTATTAATACTAATGCGTACTTGACTAATAGGACCTCATCTCTTTTGTCATTGATAGCTGATGCCAAGTGTTCCAATATGATACCATATGATATTCTTCATCCCTGAGGAAAGCAGAGTTGTGAGTACAAATATTACTAGTATGCCTATTCCCCAACATATAGATGATCAGCAAGGTCTCTAGCTGAAACTCTTAGGAGCATACAACCTAGGCTCAAGGCATGTGCATGCCAGTTAGTTGTGTGTGAGTGTTGGGCTTGCCTCCAAAAGGTTACCACTAACTACCACATGTGCCACAGATGGATGTGTGAAGTGCTGCATGTGTCACTACCACGGTCACCTTTGGTGTTTCATTGTTCTTTATTTACAACATGTGCTCAGTGTGTTTCCCAGTTACACATTGTCTTTTCAGCATGCCACATTCTTTTTCCTTGCTGTTGCTAAGTGATTGACTTCAAAAACAATTCTTGTGGTGAAGTGGCAAAGAGCATTGCAGCATGCTCTCCTGATTTGTTTGGCTTCATCTTTTTTTTGCCAGAAGCTATCACTAAACACTCAAAATCCCTGTAAAATTCTTCATTGGTGTAGGTCTTTGTACTATACAGTATTAATGTGTGTTACAATCAGAACATGGTCATGGAAGCTGTCTTATGGTGGTGGTAACTGGTAATATTCATTGTGTTATAGCAAAACACAGAGTTCTAGTGGCTATGTGACTGGTCTCAAGATTTCCTGGTATCAAAAATCTGCTTTCCAAAGCAAATTTTTGGCATACTGTGGAAAAAAATAGTACTCTTAGTTGACCAGATTCCCTTAAAATCTACCATTTTGTGAAAGGCCATTGGGTATTAGTATCAGAACTATTACCTTTGTCTAACTGTCTGAGATGTTTTGATTAATATGTTGGAAAGCCATTGGTTATGATACAGTGATACTGGACATACAATGCAAGGTGAATTTGAATAAGGTGGGAACTGTGCATAAGTACTGACAGAATGGTGTCATTTATTTTATTGTGTGTGTTTAGTATAGAAGTATGTGTAGAATTATGAGAGTATTAAAGTATGTGATGTGTTTTACAGTATTTTGAACCAATTCTGTATTCATCTTTTACTGGGACAATGTCAAAATATTCCACCATAGCTTCCTCTAGAGTGACTGAGTGGAACAAGAACTGTCATGCATGTTGCGCATAGACTTTCATGTCACATAAAATCTTTCCCATCAGAATTCCATTCCATGGTAAAATGAGACACATGTATAAAACATTCCAAACTGGCTGGAGGAATGCACCAGAATACACCACACATGCACACACTGTGAATGTAGATCTGATGCATGATTTGCTGGGAGTGTAATATTTCTGGTCTTGTCTTTGGGGCCAAGCCTTAACAGTATATTTTGATTTGTCAGCAGACTTAACCATTTAGATGCAAGCAACATATTTGGTCACTCCAGCACTGTCATCACATGTGCAGAAACTGCATTGCATTTCTTTTGTGCTGCATTTGCCATGCATGTTATCTGACCATATATTTAGTTTTTCCTGTGGGTTAGTTTAACTTTTCCCTGGAATTTGCTCATACCACTTTCTTGACCAGAGACGTTTTATGTCAGAATGTTGCTTCAGTGATGGTACATCTCTTGGAATATCTCATCATATTAGGCACAGACCCTGTACAGTGACTGAGCTGAGGAAGTAAATGGGATGTCATGTGGCACCCTGGGGCTTAAGAGTTTGAACAAAAATTGTATGATCTTGTCAAACTGGTCAGATTTTGTGTGTGTACTCAAGCATTTTTGTGATGTGTTAGCCTAAATGTAGGCTTTACAGGAGTTAAGTATGCATTATTGATGCTTGCATGATTTAAGTGCTGCTAGGGCTGAAGTCACAATGTACAAGTTCCATTATTAAGATCATTCAAGATTTGTTGAAGATGAAAGGCTGCTATTTGAGTTGGCATATTACTTAGTTTCTGAGAAAAATACTAATTCAGGAGGAGTTTTGGTCGGCATAATTACTTTAAGATTATCAGTTATTGATAGCAGTGTAGACCAGCATTGGAAATTCTAAAAATGTCTTGGTAATGGAGTACAGATTTTCTATAGTGGAGTACAAAATATCCAAGTGCTGTGGGTCATTAGGATTTTTTTAGGCTATATTTGAGAGATACAGTACAATGGGTGGTACCCAACAAAAACGCCACTTTTCATATACAGCAATTCATGTAAAAACACTTAAAGTGAAAGGAAACATCAGTATTGAACATGACACACTGAAACAACATGGTCTCAGTCTCTGTACTACAGAGCACAGGTGCACATATATGGGTTTGAGTTTATGAAAGACTGTGTATTCACCCTCCAAAATGGTGGCTGGTTACGCACCAGGCTTATACACACTCGAAGATGGAAGGTTGCTATGCGCCAGGCTTACGCGCCTTCCAACATGGAAGGTGGCTGCGATACGCACAGCCAGGGAAAAATGATACACAAAAAATATTAATGAATGTGCCACAGATGGCTACCTACTTGTGCTCCGCCACTATCACGCTACTCACGCCCCACCTGCTAACTAGTTTTAAAAATGGCTAAACACTCATGCCCTCTATGTCCCGGACAACGCACAAAGCCCGCACTCCCCAGCCAAATAATAGAGACAGGCAGCACTCTCAACCGAACCGAACCAGTGCAAGTACAGTGCCTGACAGACCCCGGTAAGCCGACCATAAGTGAGCAGAGTTAGTCACCCTGCTGACTTTGGCGAATAGTATAATATATATATGGATTTTGATGTGCTTTAACCCATATCATTGAGAAATATGAAAGTTAATGTTGCAATTCACTGATGTTTTTTCCTAATAAACCCTTCCACTTAATTTGCCAGGCCAAAGTCATGGGTTCATGTTACTCTGGTGTCCTGATGTCTGCTTGGGCGAGATGGCTGTCTCCGAGCAGTTTTGTGGCTATTTATATTAATGTGTTTTGACTTTAAAGGAAATTTTTGTGAAGCCTGAGTGACCATCTTTAATTTCACACCCTTAAGTGACAAATTTGATTTGATTGAAATCCCCAGCTGCCATAACATTTTTGTATTCCAGATACCAGGAAGTGGCCAAAAATCCAACTATGGGGTGGTTCTGGATGAGTACTAATAAGTCGTTTGTCATAATCGTGATGCCCATCTCCATACAGCTTTCCTCCAAATGTTTACCAATCTGTTCAAGGCATGAGCACAAGCAGAATATGTATGCTCTTGACAATTCAGTCAGGAGGAGGCGAATCATTAAAACCAATTGGAAAGTTTTGCCATGGTCAACCTCCAACCTGAGCTGGGGGGCGTGCGCAAGCCGCAAAATAGAGACGTTTCCGACGCTGAATTGCGAGTGATTCTCTTATTTGCATGGCCATGACACAGTGGTGGCGTGTGAGTAGGCGGCCATCTGTGGTAGGTGCTTTGTTGTGTGGTTTTCTGTTACCGTTCATTGCATCCTTGGCAATTAATGCGGTTCATTGTCAATGGTAGGTTAAGTCATGTTCAAGTTTGAGTTTGTTTGCATAGGGGGTGATAGTGAGAGGTTCGCTTATCTTCAGATGGATATTCTGCTACTCGTTTCTCATTTCCCGGTATTGTTCAAAGGCAATTCCATTCAACATTCACACCCTTTATTTTTTACATTTCCATGCATGATTTATTATATACCTAGGGGGCAACACAGGCTGCTTGCTATTGGGCATCTTGGTCTGGTAGGTGCAAGATTTGTGCTCTTACAGATAGCAATACATGGCTCATGATGGAAGCAGCAAGTCTCAAGCTGTTGCACCTTCTGGTTTAATTTTGTCCTGAAACAGAGATGCAATGAGTTTATCCAGAAGCTGTTTTGTCACGTCATGATGGAGTACAAAATATTGCATTTTACTGAGTCATAAGCCAGGAGTACAAAATCTCCTGGTATGCATTATACCAGGAGACATCAAGCTTTCCAACACTGGTGTGAGCCGCATGTGAAGACGTTGGCCCTGTATGCGTGCTGGCCGAGCCGGTCCGGTAGAGGTGTGGTCACGCGGCGGCTGCGGGGACGGATCTGACCGTGGAGCGTCTGACCGGACGGCGGCGTGCGCACACAGACGAGCCGGCCGTCGCCCGCCATGGACCGGGCGCGCGCACAGGAGTGGGAGAAGCTCCGCAGCACCATCGCCCAGTGGAACGACAACCGGCTTGACCTGTTCGAGCTCTCCGAGCCCGACGAGCATCTCAACTTCCATGGCGTCATGCGGTGAGCTGAGGGCCGACCGACCGGGCCGGATGGCTGAGCACGGCTGAGGGATGTCGTGTAGGCCTCGTGACAGGGAGTGCGGCCAACGCCGGCCCCTTCTTGGCCTCCCGAGGTATTGCGGCCTGTGGTGAATGCGGCGACGCTCTCCGGCGCACGAACCCGTCTTCCCGTCAGTCAGGGTGTCCTTGATACCTCGCGCATATGCAGGGGCCAAGTTAAACTCCTTATACCGACTGTGTTGCTGGAAGGCTTCTTCGCTTTGAGTCGTCTTGTCCATTTTGCCGGTCTTGCGAGAGCAGTGTGGCTGTTTGGAGACGAGTTTCGTCTTGGCTGCAGGTTTTACTACCAGGACTCCGGGCAGAAGGTGTCCACCAAGTGCATCCGCGTGTCTTCGGACGCCACGTCGGTGGACGTCATCGACACCCTGATCGAGAAGTTCCGGCCCGACATGCGCATGCTCTCCACCCCGCGCTTCGCCCTCTACGAGATCCACGAGAGCGGCGGTAGGAGGAGCGCACGTCTGTGACGTCATCAGTGCCGGCGCTGGGTATTCGGGACATTGCGGGGTCGAGTTTGTTGATATTTGATAGGCATCATCTATGGAGCCTTTCTTCGTCTGATTGTGGCACTTGACATGCCTCTTGTCGTTAGTGCGTCCAAGTAAGCTCAGTAAATATTGGCCTATCAGAAGTGGACACGCCCGCTAATGTGTCGATGTCCCCTGAGCCACCTGGTCCACATGTCCCCTGAGCTAATGTGTCAATGTCCCCTGAGCCACCTGGTCCACAGGGGCCCCCTTGCTTTCCTTTGAATTCCTCTCACTTTCCCCACTTTCGACAACCGCCAACCCACCATTGTGCCGGCCGTGGCTGGTGAGGGTGAGGGTGGCGAGCCGGGACTGAGCGGGTGCCGGCCGTGGCTGGTGAGGGTGGCGAGCCGGGACTGAGCGGGTGGCGAGCCGGGACTGAGCGGGTGCCGGCCGTGGCTGGTGAGGGTGGGGGGTGGCGAGCCGGGACTGAGCGGGTGGCGAGCCGGGACTGAGCGGGTGCCGGGCCGTGGCTGGTGAGGGTGGGGGGTGGCGAGCCGGGACTGAGCGGGTGCCGGCCGTGGCTGGTGAGGGTGGGGGTGGCGAGCCGGGACTGAGCGGGTGCCGGCCGTGGCTGGTGAGGGTGGCGAGCCGGGACTGAGCGGGTGGCGAGCCGGGACTGAGCGGGTGCCGGCCGTGGCTGGTGAGGGTGGGGGTGGCGAGCCGGGACTGAGCGGGTGGCGAGCCGGGACTGAGCGGGTGCCGGCCGTGGCTGGTGAGGGTGGGGGTGGCGAGCCGGGACTGAGCGGGTGCCGGCCGTGGCTGGTGAGGGGTGGGGGTGGCGAGCCGGGACTGAGCGGGTGCCGGCCGTGGCTGGTGAGTGGTGGCGAGCCGGGACTGAGCGGGTGCCGGCCGTGGCTGGTGAGGGTGAGGGTGGCGAGCCGGGACTGAGCGGGGTGGCGAGCCGGGACTGAGCGGGGTGGCGAGCCGGGACTGAGCGGGTGCCGGCCGTGGCTGGTGAGGGTGAGGGTGGCGAGCCGGGACTGAGCGGGTGGCGAGCCGGGACTGAGCGGGTGGCGAGCCGGGACTGAGCGGGTGGCGAGCCGGGACTGAGCGGGTGGCGAGCCGGGACTGAGCGGGTGGCGAGCCGGGACTGAGCGGGTGGCGAGCCGGGACTGAGCGGGTGCCGGCCGTGGCTGGTGAGGGTGGGGGTGGCGAGCCGGGACTGAGCGGGTGGCGAGCCGGGACTGAGCGGGTGGCGAGCCGGGACTGAGCGGGTGGCGAGCCGGGACTGAGCGGGTGGCGAGCCGGGACTGAGCGGGTGGCGAGCCGGGACTGAGCGGGTGGCGAGCCGGGACTGAGCGGGTGGCGAGCCGGGACTGAGCGGGTGGCGAGCCGGGACTGAGCGGGGTGGCGAGCCGGGACTGAGCGGGTGGCGAGCCGGGACTGAGCGGGTGGCGAGCCGGGACTGAGCGGGTGCCGGTCGTCCCGCAGAGGAGCGCGAACTGGCCATGAACGAGCGGCCGCTGCACGTGCAGCTCAACTGGCACCAGGACGACCGCGAGGGCCGCTTCCTGCTGCGCAACCTCAACGACAAGCCCTGGGTGAGTGCCGACGGCTGGGCGGGCGTGGAGAGGGGCCGGGTCGGCACCGGGATCGGGTAGCGTCGGTCCGGCGGTTGTGTGGGTAAGAGTTGGCCGAGGCGCGGCTGGCGTGGAGAGGTGCCGGGTCTGTACCGGGATCGGGTAGCGTCGGTCCGGCGGTTGTGTGGGTAAGAGTTGGCCGGGGCGCGGCTGCCGTGAAGAGGGGCCGGGTCGGCACCGGGATCGGGTAGCGTCGGTCCGGCGGCACGTGTGGGTAAGAGTTGGCCGAAGCGCGGCTGGCGTGGAGAGGTGCCGGGTCGGTACCGGGATCGGGTAGCGTCGGTCCGGTGGTTGTGTGGGTAAGAGTTGGCCGAGGCGCGGCTGGCGTGGCGTTCGAACCGGAACGGACCGGGACGGGCTGTGTGGATAGGTCTGGGCACTACAGCAGTGCTTGGTTGAGACAGACTCACCTAACGTCCAGGAGACGTGGGGTTCGAGGGTTCGTAGAGGGTGCCTGGCCTCATATTTGCACTGGCCGGATATCACTGCCTGACCACTATATATATATATATATATATATATATATATATATATATATATATATATATATATATGTATATATGTGTGTGTGTGTGTGTGTGTGTGTGTGCGTGTGTGTGTATGTGTATGTATGCACAAGTTCAACTTACGTATATAACTTAAAGTTATAGATAATATATTTAACTTTTGTCATTCAATGGCAAATGTGTATTTACTGACATGTTATCAACAGAAGCCATTCGATTGCTTTTGTCACGTGAGTGCACCATAAATTTATTGATGCTGGCAAATGCATGAACACGACTAGCGAATGCCCAGAGCGTCACCGCGCAACCGGCACTCGTTCAATCGTACGGCGTGCCCTGAAATATTGCTCCAGGTGGCCCAGCACGTCCATCACCCTGAGGGATGCAAGCAATTTGTCGTTGTTAATGACTTCGAACAGCGTAACTGACGGGGGGATTGAGTTCACATTAAATCGACGAAACCAGAAACCACTCGACAAGAAACCGGCCCATCAACTTCTTATCGAAATCAAATGTCTCCGCCATCTCCGTCAAGGTGGACGAAAAAGTTTCGCAGGGCATCATTAGGACAAATATTGCGCCGACTGACGAAGACACTAAAATAAGACTAACCATCTATTACAAGAGCAGAATAACTACTAGCCTTGCAATGAAAAACAGTCTGACATGACCCAAAACCAACTAAAGCTCACCAATATACAGGGCGTCCCGAAATTCATGCGCGGTTGTATCGTTCTCACTAACAGAGAAAATAATTGAGACCGGTTTATTATGTATCGTCATTGTAATCCCCACGCAGTCGTATACACTGCCGCATGCGCTCCGGCATGCCGCACATGAGGTTGTCGAGAGTCTCTGCTTTGACCCTCCGCCACGCCGCTTGCACGTTTTGGAGCAGGATCTTCTGTGAAGTGGCCGGCGACATCTTGCTGAGTTCCTCCTTGACAATCGCCCAGAGATAATCGGTCGGCGACATGTCGGGGCTGTTGCCTGGCCACGTACTTTTCTCCCAGAAGCTCGGGAAGTTGGTGCGGCACCAGTGCTGGGTTTTCCTGGCGTGATGAGCTGCAGCACCGTCCTGCTGGAACATCGCCCGGGACATGTCTGGCAGGAATTTAGCCTTGGTTGGCGGGTCATTCTCCTTCCTGTGCTGCACCGCCGAGGCTGCAGTCTTCTCCAGCACCCTCTCTGACGTAGTCGTCGGCGGTGACCGTCTGCTCGTGCGGGACCTAGTGCAGCTCAGAGAGGCCCTCCGTAGCTCATCATGCCCCAGACAAAAATCTTTAGCGGCTGCTTTACCGTCTCGGCGATCGGCACCTCCGAGCTGTTGTTGGCTTCAGACCCGGTCGTTCTGGCTGTTCGGGGCTTGGAAGAGCTCGAATGGCGACTTGTCACTGAACAGGGACGCGTCTCCGGTCCTGAACGGACCAGTTCTTTGCGGGCCTTTGTGAATTCCAGCCACTTGCGCTTCTGGTCCACGGTAAGCCTTGCTGCAACCTGAGCTTGAGCGGCTTCATTTGCAGACTGGTCTTCAGATACGGTGTACGGGCCGACTGGGAGGCTGGGTGCTTCTCTGCCGTCACTTCTCTCGCCAGGGTTCTCGTTAAGTGGCGCCTTTTGAAGGCCGACTTTGCAGTGACGATCTTCGCCATTCGGCTCAACCTGTGCGACTTTCGAGCGTCTCCTGAGCAGTCGTGGGCCAGCCAGCGCCTAATCGGCGCTACGTTGACGCCCAAGTCCCTGGCGGCCTGCACCTGGGTCATGCCGCCCTTGACTATCCCAACCGCGCGGTAGGGGATCGATGGCTGTGCTCTTTCACCATTGGCGACACGTGGACTCGACGCGTTAGCTATCTCGAAGGGAGCGACCTCTCCCGCCCGTTACCGGCTGAGGTCAGGTCAGCCGCTAGGGTCATGTGATCGCCTGACACGGTGGGATGCCCTGGGGCCGAGCGCGGTGCAATTTCACCCACCCAGCGTTCTGGAGAGGGGAAATAATAGGCAGCACCGACCGCGCATCAATTTCGGGGCGCCCTGTAGTGTATGAATTTAAATGTCCACACGGGGACTGCCGGTACCGCAACCAGTCCTATATTGGAATGGCCAAAACATTCCTGTCACGACGCGTGAGTGCGCCTGCAGGAGCGAGCGCCAGGCCGACATTTGCGCCAAACCCACAATCAATAACTTCCATGCTCTGACCTGACTGAAAACACTTGTTAGAAAATCAGGTCCAAACAAGCGCCCTCTACAAGTTCTCGAAACTATCCTCATCAAGGAAAGAATGCAGCATTTAAACAAACAGCTTAGGTCATGCATCACTGGACCTTTTCAGCCACCCAATGGTAGCAGGGTAATTACTTTCCATGGTGTCCACCTGGATGAAAAAGTGATGTGCGTATGCTTTTATGCGTATTGTTGTTTGGCCACATAGTCGGACATATATATATATATATATATATATATATATATATATATATATATATATATATATCAGATATGAAGTTGTGATGATGTGCATCCCATTTGTGATGTGTGAATACGAGCATGCATTAAGGAACTGAATGTATGGTAGCTGCATGTGTCCAATATTATTTCCTTGTTTTAGTCCTGAGACCACCCGGTGAATCAACACTAGATGAGGGCAATTTTAAACGGAACTTAGTAAGCGGGAAAAAGAAAGAAATGAAGAAGAAAGGGAAACTACATAGATGAAGAGCAGTAATGAAAATGATTTCCAGCGTCGCTGAAAAAACTGTACACAGGTACGTCTGGGTTATCGAGCGTTTTTCCACAACAGAAATATGATTTGCAACCTCTCAATTGCGTTCTGAATTACAGTTTACACCTGTTTTGTTCCATGTAGTTCTAAATCACGTTTTTCTTGCAGATAGACGAGGGGGTGTATCTGGCGTGAGTGGCACTGTGCCCAGATAATGATCATGACGCATTGGACCAGGCTATGCATGTTTGTTACAAGTATGCTTGTCAAATGTAGCCACTGTGTGATGCTTTATCATGCAGACTGCTTGTGTTGTGTCTTGGCTTTGGTAAGCATAATCCAAGTTTTTTGGATGAACTAGCATGTATCCACTATTCCTTTTCCATCCTGCGTAGTTATTTTCTCTCTCGCCAGCTCACCATGTATATTCACATCGTGTTCAGGGCCTGTTGTATCCGGCTGAATGGCGTGACCGATCCCGAGCTGTTCAGTTTTTCTCCCCGTCCTGCGACTGTTGCCGAGGGGCGGTGCTCGGCTGGCTCGCTGCTGGTGTCGTATCGCATCCCCGTGCCCGACATGCACTGCGCCCGGCGCATGTGTTCTGCCGTCGGCGCCCACGTCACCCTTCCGTCGCCGAGGTCACTGCATCACGTGGGTGCTGTGTCGGGCGCGGCTGCGGGACCAGCGGGCGCGCACGTCACGCCTCCGTCGCCGACGGTCACTGCATCATGTGGGTGCCGTGTCAGGCGCGGCTGCGGGACCAGCGGGGCGCGCACGTCACCCCTCCGTCGCCGGACGGTCACTGCATCACGTGGGTGGCTGTGTCGGGCGCGGCTGCGGGACCAGCGGGCGCGCACGTCACCCTTCCGTCGCCGAGGGTCACTGCATCACGTGGGTGCTGTGTCGGGCGCGGCTGCGGGACCAGCGGGCGCGCACGTCACGCCTCCGTCGCCGACGGTCACTGCATCATGTGGGTGCCGTGTCGGGCGCGGCTGCGGGACCAGCGGGCACCCACGTCACCCTTCCGTCGCCGACGGTCACTGCAATCATGTGGGTGCCGTGTCGGACTCGCGCTCGCGCCGGCCGCGGTCTCACGCCGCCCGCTCACGCCGCGCCCTGCCACCGCAGAGCTGCCGGAGACGAGCTTCACGCGCTCCATCAGTACCCGGAGGCAGGTTGATGCGGCGCCGCCGGCAGCAGAAGCTGGAGAAAGAAGCTGCAGCAGTTCCGCAGCCGCGACGGCGGCCCCGACACGGGCGGCACGCTCAAGGTGAGCGGGCTGGCGCGGCCGGGGGCGGCGGGCGCGTCTCCGGCCGCCCGGCTCCCGGGCGTCCTCACGCTGGCGGGGCTGGCGCCGACCGGGGGCGGTGCGCGCGTCTCTGGCCGCCCGGCTCCCGGGCGTCCTCACGCTGGGCGGGCTGGCGCCGACCGGGGGGCGGCGCGCGCGTCTCCGGCCGCCCGGCTCCCGGGCGTTCCGCCCGCTGGGCGGGCTGGCGCAGACCGGGGGCGGTGCGCGCGTCTCCGGCCGCCCGGCTCCCGGGCGTCCTCACGCTGGGCGGGCTGGCACCGACCGGGGGCGGTGCGCGCATCTCCGGCCGCTCGGCTCCGGGGCGGTCCGTACGGTGGGCTCTGCGGGCGTTTTGCCGTTCTCTGGAGATAGCTACGCCTGCGCTGTGTCTCGCGGATTGGCTGTAGTTGATGGAGAGTGCTGGGCGGGACTGGCGTCGTCGGCCAAGTGGAGATGCCGTGCTTTTGTCGGCTGTGTTTGTCAGTTTGCGGAAGTGAGGTGTTCAGTCCGCCATTTAATGATCTCTCTGAAGGCATTTCACCGGCTTTTACTGTTGTTGATATAATGTTTCTGGCAGTGACAGAGAAAACACTATAGATTCTCTGACTCCTCGGTGCCGAACCACGGAATTTAAGCCTTGTCAACAACAGCCACCGAGTTTGCTTGTGTAGTTCACCGATATATTCGACCCCTGTGCCGGCTTTATCGTGAACAACAATGTTTCGGGCAGCACAAGTTACCACGTGATCGGCCTTTTTTGTGTGGCAGCTTGCTGTGGGGGAAGTTGTGACTTTACCTGTAGAGGGCATGCTGGCGGGCTCGTCAGATCTAGTTGGAAGACAGTCGATGTCTTCCCCCTGACGCACGCAACGGCTAGTTGCCTATTGCTAGCACCAGTCAGGCGCTAACAATGACGTTCAAGAGGAGTCTTGGCGCTGACGATGTTGAACTAGTTGGTTTGACGACAAAATATATATATATATTATATATATATATATATATATATATATATATATATATATATATATACCGCCCTGATGACGCGTCCCCGTACAGATGTGTGGGCCGTCCGGCACATGTACGGCGAGAGACTGGGCTGCCGATTCAACCACCACAGTATGGCCGGCGTGATACACCAGACGGGAGGCGTGTGCGGTGCCACGCCGCGGCGGTTCAGAGTGTGAACGCACGTCTCGCTCCCTCACCGTCACACCCCCGGCAGATATACGGCGAGGAGTCTGTGCAGCGACCGTGCCGTAACAAGACGCTGCTGCTTGTCGATCAACGACAGCGCCGCCTCGGTGGTGGTCGAGATGCTGCAGAAGTACTGCAAGTACCGCGAGGACCCCGCTGACTACTGCCTCGTGCAGGTGGGTCGGCCGTCCGCCTCCGGCCGCGCAGCGGCGGCGGCTGGCGGCCTGTCGGCACCGCCGACCGCGAGCGCTGCTCCCGGAGACGGCAGTGGAGCGCCGGTCCGCGCCCGGCTGGTCTGTGTCCAGCCGTGTATGGCCCGCAGCCAGTCGCGACTTGCGTCGCGTGGGTATGTCTTTTGCGGGGTGACGGAAGGTATCGCTGTTTCACACTGACACCGCCGAAACAAATCGTTGCTGGTTTTTGGATGTGTGATTGGTATGTTTAGATTTACGACACCTTTGTGTAAACATGCTGAACTTGGTCGTCGGGCGGTACTTGTGGCGTCCTGTTTGTAAGCGTGACGGTGTGTACGCGGCGGGTATTGCCCCTCATCCCCCCCCCCCCCCCCCCCAGCACCGCAGAACTCCTAGTTTGGCGCCAACAATTCGAGAAGTTGAGATTACTCATCGTGACTTATCAAGTATATTTCAAGCACGCAGGCATGCATTGAGACCGAACTTCATTTATGAAATGCTTGTATTGAAAACAAACTCAAAATTTCTTAGATGTGTCACTTGATCTTGTCAGCCATGTTTTATCACCTGAGGGTATCAGCCATATATTATCACCGAGGATATCAGCGGTGTTTTATCACCTGATCTTAGCCTTGTGTTATCACCCGAAGATGTCAGCTGTGGATTATCATCGGATCATATCAGCTATGCGTTATCACCTGATTATATCAGTTGCGTGCTATCGCCTGAGGATATCAGCCGTATGTTATCACCTGATCATATGAGTCATGTGTTGTCACCTGATCTCGTCAACCTGACGATGTCAGATCACCGAGATCACAAGATCACCTGAGGATATGAGTCGTGTGTTATCGCCCGAGGATGTCAGCGGTATATTATTACCTGTCCATACCAACTGTGTTATCACCTGATCTTATCAGCACGTGTTATCAGCTGCGAGTCTCAGCCATGTGTTATCATCCGAGTGTATGAGCAGTGTGTTCGGGCGGCAGGTGGTGACGCAGGAGCCGCAGCAGGAGAGCCGCGAGTACCGGGCGCCACCGGCCCGTTCAACGAGTACATCCTGGAGGACGACGAGTGTCCACTGGCCATCCTCATCAGTCACCCGCCGACGCCCGGTCAGTGACGGTGCGCCGGCCTTTCCGTCGCGCCGGTCCGACCAGCGCCCCTCCTACGCCTGCGGGGCGGGACAGGGCTGGGTGGCGTATGTGCTGATGGAAGGGGAGGACTATATTGGCGTAGTCAATGTTTGCTAATGGATGTCTGTTTATGGCATTAGTATTGTATTTGTCACGTATATGATGGAGACTTCCCTGTCCATGGGTGTTTGTACAGTCGGCTTGACATACCGCAGATTCAGTATGATTTTGATTGAGGACGTTTACAATTAATGACTTATTTTTGCCTGCAAACTACCTTTCGTCGTCAGCTGATTGTCGGTTGTGTTCCTGTGACATGCGATGTCTTGCGGGGTGCTAGCGACGCCCCGTTATTACCGCATGAAATAAGTGTGCGGAATCGTTCGCATTTCAAGTTAAGGGTTATAGCTCAGTCAAACATTGTTCACCGGGTATGACGTGGCAGGTAAGGTGTTTTCGAGATGCGCACTAGGTGGGTAAAGCCCAAGGTGCCTTCCAGTTATTCCACCCGAGGCGGGCATTATCCATGTTTTTCAGTCATCAGTCAAACTTGAGCCCTATTTTGCGCTTAGGACAGATGACATTTTCTTTTCGTGCCGCTGAAGCTCTGCTGATTGCTCTCGGTTGATGCAAGCACGCACATTATCCGGTAGCTGGGTTTGTGTTCTAGGGACTCAACAACCCAGTACATCCTGTTGCGAGATATAATCTGCTGACTTTGATGGGGAAATCCAATACAGAGATCCGCCAATGTCTGCAGCATTGTTAGGCGAATCGGCCCGTTGGTTCTGAACGGTGAAGTAAGCCGAGTCAGCTCGGTGGGAAGTCGTCCTAGGGGACCTTCTGGACCGGGTACGGGCGTCCCGCGATGGCAGCTTCATGGACGGCGTTCTCTGTGAGATTGGCCGGGGGTTTGTGGTAGCAGGCCGTGTCTCGTGGGACTGAAAAGCAGCGGTGCTGCTGCCAATACTGCACGTGGTTTGGCGCGTGCATTGGCGGGACTGATCAGCATCGCTCGATCGCGTCCGCTGGCAGGCCGCTCTGATGAGATCGTCGGATTTAATCACGGTGTCGTCTCAGGCTGAGAGGTCTCTTGACTTGTGGGGTGCGGAGGTTCGATCAGCCGTCGGCGAATCGCCGCCTCAAGCTTCAGTATGTTGGCACGCCTAATATGCTGTTAGAGTCGGAGAACGGCCGTGTGTCATCACCGCCAGCGTTACCGGCCGAACCCACGTGAACCGTTGTGTCGTCTGCTCCCTGCGAGGTGTTTAAAACTCGCCTGTGATCGACTGGAGTCGAGCCGTCTGGGCGCGCTGGGCTGTGGTGGACCCCAACGATGCGGCGCCGCCCGCCCGCCGCGGGCGCCGACCCCTGACCTCGTGCCGCTCACCCCTGGTCACCTGAGGTCACGCCGGGTCAGCAGAGGCCTGTCCACGACTGGCCCACGGCGGTTCTGGCAGCCCCGGCCGCGTCTGGCAGCCGCTGACGGCGTTTCCATTTAACTGTCCGCCTCCAGTCAGCGGCGCTCGGAGGCGGGCGCAATCACTGTCCCGTCGAACGGAAAGCCGCTGGGGTCGCTGACGGCCCGGCGGTGGAGTGGGGTCGCCCAGGCTGCTCCGCTGCGCACGTCCGCCAAGATTCGCCGACGCTGGGGATGTCTGTCGGCGAACCCTGTCCAATTCCGCACTGCTGCCCTCGGCCAGCGCGCCGGCTGCCACCGACGGCGCGTTCGCAGCTGTTGCCGGCCGGGCGAAAGGTCGCGGCCGCCCGACCCCAATGGGCGTGGCTGCTCTCTGGACACGGCCGACGCCTCTCGCGTTATCGGTGAGGAAACGCTCGCACACTGAATCGGCGTCGGTCGCTGCGCGTCTCGGACTTCGAGCGGTGGTGACACCGGGCATGTAGGCCACGGGACTGCGGCCTGCCGGACAGATTCAGCTGGCGCCGGTCGCGTGGGCCCTGCGACCGACGTCCACGGTCAAAGCGTCGTCTCCCGACCGTCTGGCTGCGCCTCTGGGACTCGCAGCCGCCTCGTGGGCCGCCCGCCGCCGCTCTGGCAGACCCGCCCTTAGTCCGTCTTTCCAGGCGCGGCCGGGCTGGCGTGGTGCGTCGCCGCGGCGCGGCTGGTGCTGGCGGCCGGCCGTCACGCGTCTCCGAGCCCGGGCGGTCCGCGGGAGAGACGAGCTGATTCCGGGATCGACCCGGGGATCAGCTCGGCCGTCTCCGGCCGCGGCGCTGGCGTGCCCCGTCCGTGCGTGACCTGATTGCGACCGGCCGGGGCGACTGTAACAGGCTCGTGGACGGCATCGGGGCGGGGGTCGTCTCAGGCCCGCTCGGTGATCAGCCGGGGTATCGACCGTCGCGCTGACAGGGTGGACACAACAGAGCCGTCCTGAAGAACAAAGCGGATAGCGTCGACTGCGCCGGCGGCCGTGCTAACAAAGGCACGGGCCTGCAGCCGTCGGCCGGCGTGGGGTGGCCGACATGCTGTTGGGAGCCAGACGCGACCCGTGCCGCGGGTCTGGGCGCGGGTGGCAGTCGCTCTCCGAATTAAGGCGGCGGTGCAGAACGCCGGCCGGCCGCGGCGTCCGGAACCGGATCGCAAGCGAAGGGGTAGCATGGTCAGTGGTCATATGAATCCATTCCTGCAGAATAATTTAGGGCCGGCCCTGTTCATGGTAACATCGACGGTTGGATCCATGTCCTATGTCAGGCATGCCGACTCATTCCATCAGACTACTGGTGCTTTTTTTGAGTGTAGCATGCTCAGAATGGAATTCCGGTTCCCTCAGTCTGGTGACGGTGGCCACCGCGCAGCCGCGCAGTGGCACCCAGAGAGGCGGTCCGCAGTGGCGCACCGAGTTGGTACGCTAAAATCGTCGACGGTGGCCACCGTGCAGCCGCGCGGTGGCACCCAGAGAGGCGGTCCGCAGTGGCGCGCCGAGTTGGTACGCTAAAATCGTCGTCGGCGCTCACCCCTGCGACCCCCGCGGCTCCGTCAGACGCCGGCCGGACTTGTGTGACGTCTGCTCGAACGCCTGCGGTCCGGTCTGCCTCTGTTGAGCTGCTGCTGCTGACTTTTCGCACGAGTGAGGTCTTCTCGCCGAGCTGAGCGGACCTCTCAGCCGCGGTCCTCTGGGAGCGGGCCGTCGCCGGGGTCCGTCGAGCCGGACGGCGGTGCGTCAGGAGCCCGCCGCGCTCTTGCCCCCCAGACTGCGCGTCGGCCGGCTGGGCGCGGCGCCGGCGGCCGGCGGCAGTGGTGCGCTGGCGGCACCGCCGGCCGGACACGCAGCCGGCGAGCGGTGTCTGGCGCGGCCGGCTCGCCTCTGCGGTCCTCTGTCCGGCGACGGCGCCGAACACGCCGGCGGCGCCATGGCGTTCGGTGAGTGCCCCCCCCCCCCCCCCTCCCCTGCCCCGCTGGCTAGCCGTGGAACCGGCCGCGGCGGCGGCTGGCGGGCTTTGGAGGTCCGCTGGGCGTGCAGGAGGAGGGGTGGTGTCGACAGGGGTTCGGGAACAAAGTCAGATAGCAGATTTGCAACGGAAAAATGCACGGAGAAGGGACCGCACCTAAAATGAGTAATTGAGATACCAGCGGCTCTGTGAATAGCCGGCATTAGCGCCTCCTTTGTAAATCGTCGCGCCGTTTGCCTTGGCGTTGCGACTTTAGCGGACTAACCGGCCCCATTAATATCGTCATCGTTTGGCGTTGTTTATCACTGGCGCCCCCGGCGGGCCGCACCAGAGGGGGAAGTGTGCCGCGATCAGGCACGGTTATCCGACTGCATGCGTAAACACGCGAAACTGACCCCGGATTCTCGTGCTTGACATTCGTCTTGGTCGCCCCGCGCCGTCTCGTGCTTTATCAGATCGATCGCCCTTGCCTGGCCACATGCGAATGCATCGGTCCGCTCTAAACGGTTAGTCGTCCTCTGCTGAGGGTCGGGTCCGGCTTTGTGTGCCTGGCCTGTAGCCGCGCTACGGGTCAGAAACTGAGAACGGACAAACGGTGTTCAAGGCTTTTCCCCCATGCAACGACGTGGTCGAAATGCTAAATTCCGCAAAAGCTGGAAAACTTGTTTTGGGAGTTTGTTCTCGCGTCCTTCTGTCGGTTTGGTGTAGCCCATGAGCCTAGCTTGGCCCGACAGGTTCCCTCCGAACACAGTCTTAAGTGTGATCGATATGGGGATAGCAATTTTGAATAGCGTACGTCACGCCATCAGATATGTGTTGGTGTAACAGGAGCGTGGGATCACGCCACAACGGTCGATGGATATTCGTAAATAATTCATTGATTTCCCGCATTAAACCTAGCTGGGCTTAACATTCGGAGGTGCGAGTCGTGTTTTTGGAATTGAATCATCATGCAGCGAAAGAAAATTATCTCAATTGATGCAAAACAATTTGCAGTTGACACTCTACAAAAAGCGAACGTCGTTGAGTGCAGAATCCAGCTGGACATGACTCGGGACAGGTCAGCTCTCCGGAGCATGCTACGCTCCATAAGCTTGGACTCAGGGCTTCCAGCTCTCGCCGGACGTATCAAAGCGTCATGAATCCGGCTGCTGAAAAGTGACCATGACACCGGCGCGGTGTGGAGGCCATTCAGGAAACCCCACCCTTTGAGTCCGTTATCGGGAGCGGTTGAATGCTAGAGCGGCCGAGAGCTCCGGGCCGGCCGGCATCGGACCATCGATTCGGGAGCTGTGTGTGCGGCAGCTCACGCTCCTTTATGGGCTGCGCCGGCCGCCGCCCCGCCCCGTCCGCGCCGCCCGCATCGGTCGGCCGGATGTGGCGCACAATGGTCGCGGCCGACGACTTTTCACGGAGCGGCGCTGTGGGCCCGACCCGTGTCGAGCCGGTGTGGAACGCGTCTGGGCGCCGGCGCGGTGGGTGGAACAGTATGAGGCCCGCGGACGGGGCCCCCTGAGCACACGGTCGCTTTGGTCGGACCGCTGCAGGGTTGGTGTTGGATGTCCAAGGTCTCAAGCCAGCGGCTTGTGCGTGGTCTCTGTGTCGGTCGCTACCATTGAGGCTCCCATCGTGTTGGTGTGTTGTTGGGCGCTTTTGTCGGTGGTGGCGTCTTCCCAGATAATGTTCTCTGATAGTTTTGAGCAGATCGTGTTCGATCAGGTTTTCATGCTGTTGCAGTGTCGTCCAGTTTCGCACCGTTTATACCATCATGTTGGCGAGTTTCTGGCGAGGTAGCATCTATCACTTGGTTTAAGTGTTCCTGTCCGGGATGTCAGACCGCTGGTGTGATCCTGCGCCATGCCTCATTCCGCGGACAGCTGTCGCCCGTCCCCAGGGTCGAGTGCAGGGCCTGCCGCCGGCGGATACGGCGGCGATGTCACACGGTCCGATCCGCTCGGCTCCGTTCCGCTCGGCTCCGTTCCGCTCGGCTCCGCTCGGCTTTGCTCGGCTTTGCTCGGCTCGGCTCGGCTCGGCTCGGCTCGGCTCGGCTCGGCTCGGCTCGGCTCGGCTCGGCTCGGCTCGGCTCGGCTCGGCTCGGCTCGGCTCGGTTCGGCTCGGTTCCGCTCGGCTGGGAGTGTGGCGTGACTGGGGCGTCTCCCAGCCATTGCCAGTGCTGTCCATGCGACGGTCGGTTATCGTCGCTGGCGCTGCCTCTGGCACGGCTCGCAGGTCCCGGCTGTCGCCCCGTCACGCTCCCAGACTGGACTCCGCTCCACAAATACCCGGCGAAGGCAACAGGCCGGCTGTGGCAGATCTAGTCGCCACCTTCAGTAATTCGGTGCTGGGCGATCCGGTCAGAAATCTCTTTAGTTCTCGGCTATGGTAAAAGGCCCCGGGAGTGTCTCGAAGCTGGCTACTGCTTGCAGTGTTAGGGTGCAGGGCCCGGCCAAGGACCTGCAGAGGACTTGCCGGCCCTGACCAACCAGCGCTGATAAAGCTGCGCCCGACCAACCTAACACCTACTGAACCGGGAAGAGCCGCAACTGAATCCAGACCTAACAGCGACTGAACCCGGACATAGCCGTGACTGAATCCAGACCTGGCAGCGACTGAACCCGGAAGAGCCGCAACTGAATCCAGACCTAGCAGCAACTGGGCCCAGACGTAGCCCCGGCTGAATTTAGACTGAGCAGCGACTGAACCCGCACTGAGCCCGGCCGGTTTTGCCCAGGCTCGCCCAGGTCGGGACCGAGTCTGTCGGAGCTTCCCACCTGTTCTGTGGACGCCCGCCACCGTCTGGTGCGCGATCGTATCCGACGGGTATTTCCGGCTGTCGGCTGGCAGCACGTGACGTTTTTCACCAGACCGCCTCGCCCGTCACATGCTGGCGTGAATCCATGGAGAGGTGGCTGTGTTGTGCGCGGCATTATGGATTAGCCAGCTGGCCGGCGCAGCCAACGCGTCTCCCAATCGCAGGGCTGGCAGCGTAATACAGCTGGAAATGCTAATGGAAGCGCAATAAGGGCGCCACATGCAAAGCGGGTCGTGCGCCCGTCCCTGGCATACGTCAAGCCGGAATAAGTCCTACCGAAGTTGGCGGCGTGCGGCGTGGGCGTTTATCAGCAACCCGTTGCACGATAGAGCCGCGATTTAATAGCACACGGCTTGATGAGTAAGTGTCCCATTGCAGTCGCCCGAAGCACTCTTCTTTAATTGCTCGTGTAGTAGCGAACTTGCTGTAAGCTACCCAAAGCTCTTTTAGTCAGGGTCTCTTGGTTGCTCAGGTGACGACCGTTGGAATAGCGCCCGCGTGGTTGCCGTCGTGTCCTTCAGTGCAACTACCAGCGCTGGGTCGAGGCTGCCTGGTTGAGTCCGCGGAGTGGAGTGCTCGCCGCTGCCTGTCGTCACGCCCGGCTGCCGGTGTGGAGTGCTCGCCGCTGTCACGCCCGGGTGCCGGTGTGGAGTGCTCGCCGCCGCCTGTCGTCACGCCCGGATGCCGGTGTGGAGTGCTCGCCGCCGCCTGTCGTCACGCCCGGCTGCCGGTGTGGAGTGCTCGCCGCCGCCTGTCGTCACACCCGGGTGCCGGTGTGGAGTGCTCGCCGCCGTCACGCCCGGGTGCCGGTGTGGAGTGCTCGCCGCCGCCTGTCGTCACGCCCGGCCGCCGGTGTGGAGTGCTCGCCGCCGCCTGTCGTCACACCCGGGTGTCGGTTTCCAGGCTCGATTATGTTCCACGTGCGCCGTCGGCCGAGCGACTACCAGCCGCGCAAACGGAAGAAGATCCCGAGCCAGCCGGCCGTCGCGTCCGACGTGGACCACAGCTACCGCGGCCACGACGAGGCCAGCCTGCCCTTCCTGGAAGAGCTGAACGCCGACGGCACCGACATCCGACACGCGGCGCCCAGGTAACCGCCGGGGTGCAGCAGGCGCCGACATCCGACACACGGCGCCCAGGTAACCGCCGGGATGCAGTAGGCGCCGACATGCGGCACACAGCGCCCAGGTAATTGCCGGGGTGCAGTAGGCGCCGACATACGACACAGAATGCGGGGATGAGCCGAGTTGAGACATGCAGTTAACCAGACAGTCCGCCACGCTGGTAACGACAGACACCCGGCACATGCGCCCAGGTGGCATGGGCGGTCAGAGATCCGCTCAGCTTCAGCGTCCTATCAACGGTAGATACCGGGCAGACGTCGCGCGGGTAGTCACTGACATCTGACCCACGGCGGCCAGAGGTTCGCTCAGGTCCAGCGTCCTGTCAACCATAGATACCGGCAGACGGCGCGCGGGTAATCACTGGCATGTGACGCACACCGCGTCTCCAAAACAGGAGGCGGTCTGACCAGACGTTCATCTGAACTTGTCGATGCGCCATGCCCCGGTACTCGGTGTCCCGATGCGGAGTGCCCGTCGCTCGAACCCCATCGTTACAGTGGTGCGGTCCTGTTCAGACTTACAGCACGTCTGTTGTGTGTGCCGGGCGGCACAGTTTCACGCGCGTTCACAAACGGCCTGTCGCCCAGCGCCAGCCACAAACAGCCGACGCCGACACGACACGGCAAACAGCTCGTCTCCGTCGCAGCGCCTGAGATGTTCCTGGCGTGTGACCCTCGTCCTCGCTGGGCCGCAGGCGCTACAGCCTGCGTCTGAACGTGACCGAGGTGGGGAGCGAGCGGTCGCCGCAAGCGGGCGGCCAGTGCCTGCAGCTGGTCGGCCACAACGTGCACCCGCGCCACTGCGTCATCGCGCACACGGAGGGCATCGTGACGGTGACGCCGTGCGGACGCGAGGCCGAGATCTACGTCAACGGACAGCGCGGCTACGAGACTACCATCCTGCAGGTGAGAGGACGGCGGCGGCGGGCGGCGCCGGCACTGCCGGATGCACGCGGCCGATTGTGCGCCGTGGAATGTGAGGGACATTGGCGATCGGACGGCTTTGCTGTGCGCGTGTGGGGCGGCGATTGCTCTCCGTGTTCGTCACGGCATGCCGTGGTCTGGCGCATAGCATGACATCACCGCTCCGTCGCCATCGGACCGCGGCTGTCCGCTGAGGAGCGTGCAGCGGTGCTCGGCGCTTCGGAGTCGCGCTAGCGAGCCGCCGCCGTCGGCGGTGTGGCCGTGCGACGGCCGTCGCTGCCCAGCCGAGCCTGGTGGGCGCTCCGGGACTGGTCTGGTGGGACCCCGCCACCGCCGCCGCCGCCGCCCCCGCCGCCGCCGCCGCTGGCCGCCCTTTAAATCAGCGGCGCTTCTGCGAAGCCAAGCTCGGTAATTCTGGCTGGCCGGGCGGCGTCGCCGGCGCGGTGTGGGCGGAGGCACTGCGGCGGGCGGGTAAAGACTCCCGGCGTGGCGCCGGGGCCCGCGGTGCGGGCGGCCGTGCTCGCAACGGCGGAGAGGCCAGCTGGTGCCGGTCTGGGCCGCTCGTGCGCAGTCGGCGTCACTGGCGCAGCACGGGCAGTCTTTGGTTACTGGCTGGAGGGCGGCTCACCTGTGGATCACCCCTGACCTTTCTCGGGCCGTGACCCTGTGGATCAGCCCTGATCTTTCTCGGGCCGTGGCGGGCCGGTGGCCGCACGCTTATGGATTCGTTCCAGCAGGGCCAGGCGAGGTTACAAGCTCGATACATCGAGTGGCGGCGTGCCTGATGTCGGTAGCCATGGCACCAGAGTAGTCGGTGCGCCGTAAAGCACAAGTCGTTGTCATCATAGGATTGTTGGCTTCTCTTTCATGGGATGCCTCCAATGTCCGCGATCCGGTCAAGGTCATGGCTTGACATTGAGCTTCAGGCTGTTGGCCAGCGACGGGCGCTCACCTGTCGGCTTTGATCCTTTTCACACTACGCAGAGTCATAGGTCCAGGCCGCGCAGACCCTGAACAACGGCCGAGACATTGACGTCTCTGCTATATCCATTTAGCCCCTCTGCCTACACTGATAGCTCATTCACTTTGACTTGTGCTGAAATTCGATGCTGTCGTTTGTCAGCTGTCCGGCACCGTGAGTTCTCCTGTCCTAGGTCGGTGGGACATCCCTGCATACATTGCGGTGAACGAATCCCCTGGTGGCTGGACAGCGGATGGTGGCATTCGAGCCGGTTCCTTTTGCCACCGCATCGGATTGGTTTCAGTGCGGTATTCACCGGACACCCTCGCGCCCCAGGTGCGCTGGCACGAGCGTCGGTTTTGCGGCTCTACGTGGGCCTCATCTCGTGCTGGATGTTGTGTTTTTGCACCGGACACGTAACCAGAGCCAGCTGTTGTGGCGGCGGCTGATACTGTGACTCGCTCCCGCACATGTGTAGTTCGATACGACTCGGCATTTCGTAGCCGAGTAATGAAGGCGCCCCAAAGCCGAGTTGGTATCGGCGCGTCTCCGTGACTCGTGTGTGAGCTCATGTGGGCGTGCTATCAGGGCATGATTAGGCGGCCGGCGGAACGGCCACCGCTGGCTGAATCCGCCGAGCATGGTGTCCAATACCGCTGTCGGTACGGCTGGCCCGGCCCGGATGTACCTTGGGTCCGACAGCATCGCCTCCCGTCGATGGCCGAGCCGAGCTGGGCCGGGGCCGGGGCCGGGGCCGGGACCGGGACCGGGGCCGGGACCGGGGACCGGGACCGGGGCCGGGGCCGGGGCCGGGGCCGGGGCCGGGGCCGGGGCCGGGGCCGGGGCCGGGGCCGGGGCCGGGGCCGGGGTCGGGTTCGGGTTCGGGTCCGGGTCCGGGGTCGGGTTCGGGCTCGGGGCTGTGGACGGCCGGGCCGTACTGACCGCCGGCCCCTGACCTATCGTCGAAAGGATCAGCTGCGCGTGACTCACCGCGCCACAGCTGTGATCTGCTCGATCGCGTGCGCCGCCGCTGCCCGGCAGACGGCGGCGCGCCGCCGGCCGGTCACCGTCGCCGCTGCTGGCGCCGCGTGCACGGAGAAAGCGGGTACAGCGAGCTGGCGGTCCGGCCTGAGGCGGGAGGCGCGCTCGGTGGGACACGTGACGGCCTCCCCTCCGATCGGCCGGGGTGATCCGCTCGTGCGCTGGGTGCTCCAGTTGGGACCTGTGCCCGCCTCGCCCCGTGGCATTCCGCGCTCGCCGATCGCCGCCGCTGGTTCCGGGGCGCTGCGGTACATCCACGGCGCCTCAGTGCGGAGCACCATGGAAATGGTACGACCGGTGACTGGTGTCTGACCGTGCTGGTATGCCGCACTGCGTGGTGCGCGCCTGTCACCCAGCAGGGCACGTGAGGGCTGGACGTGCCCGTCAGCTCTCGCCGCTCTCCGTGTCTGTCGCCAGCTGTCACACGGCGATATGTTGCAGTGGGGTTTGGCCGTTACCGCGCCTCGTCGTCGGCTCTGGTGCGACGACTGGGCGTGGGTTAGGCCCGTTGCTGCTTAACTGAGCCAGGCGATTTGGGCCATAGGCTAACGTGTAATTGTGCTGAACATTATGGCCACTTTGACGAATACTCGTCAGTGGCATTTCTCTCAGACCAGTGCTCCAAGTCGACCCAGTACCCACTGTTTCAATATGTACAGATCCACGCAGGACGGTGATGGCCATCCAGCGGCCACTGCTCACCCTCTCCAGTCACAGCTGACGAGACCGCTCGGCCGTCCTATCCTGCTGCTGCTCACCCTCGCCCGTCACAGCTGACGAGACCGCTCGGCCGTCCTCTCCTGCCGCAGCACGGCTGTGTCGTCCAGTTCGGCCGCTTCTACCGGTTCCGGTTCGTGGACCCGGCGCATGAGGAGCAACGGATGCGCGGTCGTCGCGACGCGGCGCGCAGCCACGAGCCCTACATGGAGAGGTGAGCCACCGCTGCCGCCCGCGTGGCGGCGCTTTCGGTGTGGCTTTTGTGGGCTGTACTAAGTCATACTTAGTCTGTGTGCCAACTCGTAGTTGTATCAACGTAAAGTTTGTATTCGGGTGTGTGTGAGTTGCTTCTCGACCGGCTTGAGCTGATTGTTTAGTACTCAGCGCGTTCGTGTAGGCTCTACTAACTGGTAAGGTGTACTTCAGTGATTGTTTCAGCGCAATGACTGATGTGTACACGGCGGTCACTGACCCGCTTAGTGACTGTGCTAGCTGCTTGCTGCTCGCGTGATTGTTGCGGTACGTCGTGGTAGCTCCGCGTTCCCCTGCTGTCACATTTCACGTTGCATCTCGTGCTCTGTGTGTTGTGGCTGTGCTGCGGTGGCAGTGCCGCGCCGCCCCGACCCCAGCCGCCGGCAGCGGGACCCGCGCGCCGCCCTGTCCCGCTCGCTCGCCGCCTGTCCGGCGCCGGGGCCGCGCCCGTGTGACGCCGCCGCGCCTGCCGCCGTAGCCACGGCCCGAGCCGCCGGGACAGCATGGAGACGACGTTCGATGTGGCCGGTAACGTGGAGACGCGCTCCACGGCCAGCCAGCGGCACCGCGACCGTGACCGCGACCGCGACGAGACGGCCAGCCAGCGCTCGGACGGCAGGTACGGCGCCGCAGCGCCGGGCTAGGGGCGGAACTCCCGGCGGGCAGGCTGCACGGCGAGGCGGACTTCAGGCCGAGCTGTGGGCGGACTCGCTCCTGGTGTGGCCGAGTCCGCTGTGCCGGTGGGATTACGTGGTTGTCTCGGGGAGTCGACCTCTACACGCTGGTAGTGGTTGGTCGGCTGCATGCGATGCTGCGTACGGTGGCTCCCAGGCCGTTTGGGACACACACGTCACGCGACTGCCAATCTATCCACGCTTAGCCCCAATGGCCAGTCGCTGTCTTCAAATTTGAGCGGCGCTGGCCACCGAGCACGGCCGCTGGCAGCATGTCGGGCACCGAGCACGGCCGCTGGTAGCATGTCTGGCCGGTGCGCGCGCTTGCTGGCGCTGTCGAGCTGCCATGCCGGCGCCGTGTAGCGCGGACGGTGTCTGCCCGTGCCGACAGCGTCTGGTGTGGGTGGTGTCTCGCCGGGCTGCGTGCTGCGGCGCCTCTGTCCCTGGTCGCCGGACAGACCGGGCGGCGCCATCTGTTCATGTCTGACATGTTGTCCGGTACCTGAGGCGGTAGCGGCCCAACCACAAACAACAGCGGCGTCGCCACCGGCAGCATCGCCGACACCGCAACATTGTCGTCATCGCGGTCGTCGGCCGCAGCTCCCTCGCCCTGTTAGTTGATGACGACGCGATATGAACATCACGTACCCGCGGTGACAACGGCAAACAGACGAGGTCGTAAGCCGCTGCTTTCAAAAGCGGCCGTCGTAGCCGTCGCGGTCCGTCGGCCTGCGTCTGACGCCTGTCTGGCGGGCAGGTCGGCCAACTACGCCAGCTTCCGGCGCGGCAGCGACCCCATCCTGCCGGCGGTGCTCGAGTTCCGCGAGGAGACCGAGGACGCCTTCCTGCGCGCTGTCGTCACGCGCCTCGACCCCAGCAGTCTGCAGTTCAAGCTGGCGCCCACCTACACGCTCTACATGGCCGCCAGGTGAGCTCGGAGCGGCCGGGCGGCGGTCTGTGCGGCGGCTTGCCGTGTACTGCAGCCGAGGCGTGCTCGCTGAAAGCCGGCCAGGTCGATACATGGGCCAGTTAACCTCGCAGGCGGTGGCTGTCGTGCCGCGGCGCCGCAACAGGTCGGCCTCTATTCCGCTTGTTAGTGGGCGAGAGTCCCCCGGGACGGCGCGTGCCGTGCAGACGTAGCATGTGTTGGCGGCGCGCCGGGGCTGATGGGACGCGTCCGGGAGGTAAGCCGGCCGGCGCGTCACGCGGCCGGACGGCGGCCGGCGGCCAGCGGCTGTATCGCCGACACAACCTGAGGCGTGCGGTGGCGTGTCGCCAGGTTTCGGGCCAGCACGCACTACCGTAGCGACCTGACGCCCAACGAGCGGGCGCTGCGGCTCACCAACGTACTGGCCAAAGTGTCCTCCATGATCCGTGACGTCATCCAGGTGAGCGCGCCGGCCCCGAGGCGGAGGTCGTGTGACGTCATCCAGGTGAGCGCGCCGACCCCGAGGTCGTTTGACGTCACCGGCGGTAGTCGTCAGCGGTCCGGAATCGGCCACCGTTGCATCACCGAGCTTTGGTGCCTTGTGTTGGAGTATTGGCTTTCTGTATCATAGCTGCTGCTCTGCTTCCGTTAGTTTTGCCCTCATCGTTGATCCATGGTGACAAAGAGAACTTGTCTTGACACGCGCTTTTCATTACCTAGGTAAGGACGGCTGAAGCCGTGAGCGCTCGCTGGCTCCAGTTAGCTGCTGTTCACAATGTGCCCACACCTCACGTGACGGCGTTCGCAGATGCGCCGCACCGACGCCAACTCGCTGGCGTTCTGGATGGCCAACGCGTCCGAGTACCTGCACTTCCTCAAGCAGGACCGCCACGTCAGCGCCTACAGCCGTGACGCCCAGGACATCCTGGCGGAGAGCGTGCAGTCGGCCTTCTGGTGAGTGGGCCGGGCCGGGGCGCGGGTCTGGCTGTGCCGCCGCGCGGCGTCCACGGCAGCCGGCCGCCACTCGCACCCCTCCGCCCCGCAGCGGCCGAGCGTGGGCAGATGACCTGCGGAGGCGGCAGCCTGTCGGCATAGGTCCTGTCGCTGCACGATGGGGAAGACCAGCGAGGACGTGAGAGGGTCGCTGACGATCCAGATAGCGATCGGCGTGGTGCCGGCGCGTCCCAGTTGGCCGGGCGTGACCGGACGGTGTGCGTGTCGCAGGTACTTGGTGGACAACGTGCAGTCGGAGCTGTCCAGCTCGATCGGCCACTTTCTGAAGGACCGCGACGACTCCAACGAGGAGGAAGGCACGACGGCCGAGGTGCGTACGTCCGTCCAGCCCGCCCCAGTGCGCACGCCCTGGCTTTGCTCTCACTCTCTGGGGGGGGGAGGTGCCCACGACTGAGGTACGTGTGGACGGTGCTCTGGTCCAGTGGCGCGCCTGGGAGATATCCCGGCCATGGGGCTTGCGACGAGGAGGCTCTCAAGTCGGGGCACGTGCGTAGGAGGTGGGAGCGGCTGCCCGGGCGTCGCCGTTGATGACGCACGCGCTGTGACTGCCGAGCCGCGCTGGTGGCCGACGCTGGTCGGTGGCCGCCGGCAAACCGATAGACCCGAGCTCCGGCCGGCTGCCAGGCTGGATCGCCGTCGCTGTCCGCTCTCCCGGTGTCTGTTGTGACCCTGTACCGCGCAGGTGTAGCCCTGTGGCGCGATTGTGTAGCCCTGTGGCGCGATGGTGTGACCCAGTGCCGCGCTGGTGTGACTCTGTGCCGCGCTGGTGTAACCCTGTGGCGCGATGGTGTGACCCTGTGGCGCGATGGTGTGACCGTGTGCCGCGCTGGTGTGACCCTGTGCCGCGATGGTGTGACCCTGTGCCGCGATGGTGTGACCCTGTGGCGCCGGCGTCGCTTTCCAGGTGCTCAGCAGCCTGGGCAACACGATGGCGCTGCTGCGCCGCTGCCGCGTCAACGCGGCGCTCACCATCCAGCTGTTCTCGCAGCTCTTCCACTATATCAACATGGGCGTGTTCAACATGCTAGTCATGTCCGGCCCGGTCAACTACTGCAGCAGGTGGGCCAGCCTCCCGCACCGCTGAGCCTCTCACTCTCGGAGGAGCGGCTGTGTCACTGGCAGCGGCGCGCGCTCGGTAAAGCTGTATTTGTCAGATGTGACTATTATTGGTCGACTGTAGCAAAACACACCAGGACGTTTCCGGTGAGGTTGCATTTGTACCGAACGGTATAAGCGGGAAAGCCTAAGCTCTTGGTTGTTCGTAATTCCGTCTGCTGTTCTGACGTCACAAGTAAGAAGTTCTTTCCGTGGGCAAGATAGAGCTTGGGTTCGTGGTTTTGCATGATGAAAGCCACGTTGGGAGCTGACTCAATACGCGTCTGTTGTGTATGGAACCAGCTCATTATGTCGATCCGGTCATCCAGTTCCTCGTACGCTCAATGCCCTAATTTATGTTAATGTAGAGCACCGCGGGCAGCGGAGGCGTGCGTGATGGCTGTTGATCGTACCGGCTATCTCCGGCCGCGGGCTTGCAGCCAGGTGGCCAGCTACCGTATCAGGATGTAACCTGGATCCCGCCCACCGTTTTCTTGTTTTACGAGCTGGGCGAGGATACCGTGCTATGTGTAGCGGCGTCGCGCCGGGTCGGCCGCGGCGCGCCCGCCCGGCCGCTGACGTGACGGCCGTTGCAGGATGTGGGGCGAGCGGCTGAAGCGACGCCTGAGCCGGACCGAGCTGTGGGCCGACCGGCAGGGTCTGGAGCTGGCCGCCGACTGCCACCTGGGCCGCGTGGTGCAGGCCGCCCACCTGCTCACCGTACGTCTCTGCCACCGGCGTCCCGTCAGCACGGCTGGGCTGGGCGGGAGGCCACCACGCACGAGCAGTTCTGTTGACGAATGCGCCGCTCTCAGTGTGCTATACGATGACTGCCTAAGCGATGGAGGAAACATGGCTTAGAAGACAGCTGTTGACGCATGGCGGCATTTGTTCTTTACCGTGAGAGGAGGTGGACCAATATCTCACTTTGAATGCCAAGGGAAACAAACCGTAATTCTAAGCGCCAAAGTTGCAGCGGCGTTGCCTGTTCAACCGGACAACTCGAAGCCGTCTCTGATTACTGCTGGTTAGTGTGTTGCGCGTGGTTGGCTTGAATCAACATCAGTTAAGTCGGTAGGTTAACCTGCGATTACAGTGCGCTCAAGAACGCAGTGGGTGGTGTTCAGCCCCGACCCAGCCGCCCGCGTGTGTTCCGTCTACGGCAGGTGCTCAGCTCTTAACATGGGCAGGAGAGGGCGACATGTGGAATTCAAATCAGCCAGTTAGAATGCACGGCCGCCGTGACGTCAGTCGGGGATTTGGCGCGCACCGGGGCTTGTGGATGGTGTAAATGCGGCAGCTGTATGCACCGCGTCGTGCGGGGCGGACGAGCAGTGGCGAGGCTTTCGCCACCGCCAGCCGCCCGGGGCAGATTGGTTAGCGCGGCCTAGCTGTTACGGATGTAAGGTGGGGACAAAAGAGCGCGCGTCAGTTTGAGACCTCAATGAACTGCCCCCGACCGATGGTTTGCGATGGTAAGCATCATCCCATCTCCTTATGGTCAGCTCAGTTATCCGCGGGCCGCCAAATCGCCAGTGACGTCACGGGACGGTGCGACCGCTGCAGTCAGATTGTGGCCGCCGCACCTGTGTGGGCCGGAACATCCGGTTGTCCCGCCTGTGAGCGCGGCTATCGACCTGACTCGTCCGCCATGCGGCCGCAGGCGCCCAAGAACAACGTGGATGATTTGACGGGCATCACCAGCACGTGCTACAAGCTGAACTCGCTGCAGCTGCGCGCTATGCTGGAGCGCTATCAGCCGGCGGCCGACGAGCCGCCGCGCATCCCACCCCAGCTCATCGACAACATCGTGCGGGGTGGGTGGCGCGCCAGGCGGCCGGGACGCTGACGCCCGATGTGCCTATGGCGGGAGGCTGGGGTATCGCGCTGGCGCCCTGGCATAGCTTGCCGTCACGTAGTTGATATAGCTGTCATTGCTGCAGTTGCTGACCATCTGTGCGGGTCTGACGTTATGGCCCGTGCTGTCACAGCCTGCTTTACCCAGTCTGTTAAGGTCAAATTGAGGAGCCATATAGCTCGCCATTCGGCGTGTCGCGACATTGTTTCGCACAGATCAGCCAAAACTCCTCCACAATCGACATCGGTCGCGGTACCGACCGTGGTGCGGACGTCGTCGTCACGCCTGCCGATGGCGTCGGCAGATCGCGGAGAGCACCTCCGACGAGCTGGCGCGCCAGGACGGTCGCCCGGTGCGGCTGGAGGAGAGCCGCGACCTGCAGCTGCCCTTCCTGCTGCCCGAGGACGGCTACTCGTCGGACATCGTGCGCGGCATCCCAACGGTCAGTGGGCGGCGCGGCCCCGCCGCCGGCGTCGTCGGCGCGCCGGCACGCCGCCTAGCTGGGCGGCACGTGCGAGCGACGGGCGATTGCCCCACCAGACGTGCTCCGCTGGTCTGATAAGCAGTGCAGTTATTGGTGTGCGGCACGGCGCAATACTGGGAAATGCCGCGGAACCATTGAAATCTCAAAGCGTTGTTGAAGCTGGAAAGGTGGGATTATCGCCCACCTCAGGTGGTGAAGCGGTTGCCTGTTTTCAAACGGAAGCGGTGCCGCGGTGTGCGTTCTGTTGTGATTGCTGGGTCTATTCGGGGACGGATGCTGCAGTATGGCCAGTGACGCCCCACAGAACGGCGTGTGACGCGGGGCCGACGCCCAGCCGGCGCAGCGTTCCCGTCGGCCGTCCCACCTGACGGCCGCCGCCTGCCGCAGGTCTGGCCGAGTTCATCGCGCCGCTGCAGCACGCCGGCCTGGCCCGCATGAACGAGCAGCCCACCAGCTGGGGCTACTGGACCATCTACATGGCCGGCCACGAGCAGACCCGGCCGCCGGTCAGTGCTGGGCCCGCTGGCCGTCGCCGCCGGCTCCGGCCGTCGTGCCGCGTGGCGCCGCCTCATCTGCCACCGGGCTGGGCGAGGGGGCGGGCCTCAGAGACAGACGCCTGCAGCGCCTGGCTGTGCGTGTCCGTGGGCACGATGGTAGTGATGCTGTCGTCAAGCGGACGACGACATGAGGGCCGTGGGGTGTCGAGACGTCTGTTGTCTGATGCAGCTTATGTAGAACGAGAGGTGGCCGCGTTCAGGTGGAATTAGTGTCTTTCGAACTTTCCTGAAGTAAATTTGCGTCAGCACCACCAAGTCCGACATGTCACACGTACCCCGTCACTGCCGCGGACTGCGAGTGCTGTGTGTGTCGCCTAGTTTTGCGGCCGCTGTACGGGCCCATGAGTTTCTAGCCCCGTATCACACCCCAGCTGAAGTGTAGACAGAGTGTCACGCGCCTCCGCCGCGTCTGCCCGTCTGGCCCTGGCGTCTCCGTGTCGTCGCACGGCTCAACGCCCCGTCGCCGCTCCCCCAGGCCCGCAGCCCGTCGGCCATGTCGAACCGGTCGATGGGAGCACGTCCGCTGTCGGGCGCCGGGCCGGGGCCAGGGCCCGGGCCCGGACCAGCCCCGGGCGCCACCGAGCCGGAGGTGCAGCTCATCAAGCTGCAGAAGTCCAACACCGGCATGGGCCTGAGCATCGTGGCTGCTAAGGTGAGACGGTCACGGAGGGCTTTGGCAGAGCAGTGGGCCGTCCGGTGGGCCGGCGTCCGCGGCCTGGAAGGCGGCGGACTGCTGGGACGTTCGTGTTGTGTCGCATGACTGTGTGAAGTGTTGGAGGGGGGGGGGGGGGGCTGTTCATAGGGCGTCGGGCCGAGTCAGAGGCAGCAGCAGCGGTGCGTGTATGTGCAGCCGGTGGTGGTGACGGCGCTGCGGCACCTTGGCAGGGTCCAGGGCAGGAACAGCAGGGCATCTACGTCAAGTCTGTGGTGCGCGGCGGAGCGGCCGACGCTGACGGCCGCCTGGCCGCCGGCGACCAGCTGCTGGAGGTGGACGGACACAGTCTGGTCGGCATCTCCCAGGAACAGTGAGTGGCCCGCCTGCTCAGAACGATTTATCGGTCACGGGCAACTGCTGGTATTTAGACACGGACACCTACCGCCTGGACAGTCGTGCTGATGTGTCGTAGATCGGCTCCCACTAAAGGTTCATTTGTGTGTTGGAATCCATTCTCTGAGGGCCGCCTTGTATTCAAACAACATATCAGCCACACAAGCTCCAGCCAGTCATCAGTTGTGGCCATACCGTCGGTCGCTCCCCTCCCCGCCGGCCTCCCCGGTGCTGTCGCTCCGCTCCCCGCCGGCCTTCCCGGTGTCGTCGCTGACTCCCCGCTGGCCTCCCCGCCGGCCTCCCCGGTGTCTTCACTGGCTCCCCGCCGGCCTCCCTGCTGCTGTCGTTGGCTCCCCGCCGGCCTCCCCGGTGTCTTCACTGGCTCCTCGCCGGCCTCCCTGCTGCTGTCGCTGGCTCCCCGCCTGCCTCCCCGGTGTCTTCGCTGGCTCCCCGCCGGCCCCCTTGGTGTCGTCGCTGACCGAGCTCCGTCGGCAGGGCGGCCGAGTATATGATGAAGACGGGCCCGGCCGTGCTGCTGCGCGTGGCCAAGCAGGCGGCCGTGCACCACCGGCTGACTGCACTGCTCTCCCAGCCATCTCCCACCATGTCACGAGGTCAGCCCCCCCCCCCCCCGGCCCTGCTCTGTGACGGGGCGGCCGGCCGCGCGCCGTCCTCAGGCATCGGTCGGACGGTGCGGACGAGTGCCACGGTCTCGGCCAGGTCACGAGGTCAGCTCCCACCCTGCCCTGCTCTGTGACGGGGCGGCCGGCCGCGCGCCGTCCTCAGGCATCGGCCGGACGGTGCGGACGAGTGCCACGGTCTCGGCCAGGTCACGAGGTCAGCTCCCACCCTGCCCTGCTCTGTGACGGGGCGGCCGGCCGCGAGCCGTCCTCAGGCATCGGTCGGACGGTGCGGACGAGTGCCACGGTCTCGGCCAGGTCACGAGACGGCGTGAGCTGCTCTCAGGTGTTCGTGGCGAACTGTGCGGACCCCCGGTCGAAGTAAGTCATGATGACAGACGGCGTTGTTTTGTGCTGGTGTGTACTTGTGTGTTTTTTCCGCCTAGTCACGCAGTGAACTGTTCAGTAAGGCAAACATTACTGGTTCCAACAGGTATGAACCACTGCCGTCTTGTTTGTGTGGGTCGTGCAAATTTGGAAAAGCTTTTGGTCGTACCAGACGGTAAATGTGATAGCCCAAGGAGCTGCCAATTGTTTCCCTCCCCCTCCCCCTCGTGGTTGAAGGCGCTGGCATGGCACCTTACGCTCTCCGAAACTGTATTTAAAGCGAAGTAAGAATATTGTAAGCGTAAAAGTACAACGCGAACCTGAAAAATATACTTACAACGCGTACTTGCAGTATAGAAGAGGGTATGGTGCTTGGCATGAAGAGTTTCCCGTGCATTAGCTTGGAGGGGCATTCAACGTCCCCTGTTAGCCTACAGAGGGTTCGTTGCTCGTCGTCAAAGATCCACTATCGGCCTACAAAGGGCTGGTGCTGGCCTTCGGAATGGCCTCCTTCCGACTTGCTGGTGAAGCGTTGATGGCTACTGAAGAGACTGCCCGCGCGCTTGTGAAGGGGCCTGTGGGAGTGTAACGGTCCCCATTTGTCTATAATGATGTCCATACCGACCCGCAAATGGCACCCGTCAGTTTGGCACGAACGCCGGTGACAGCAGGCAGTATCCCTGACGGCTGTGACTGGTTTTCATACAAGCCGGCACGGTCTGCTGCCCAGTATGGACCTGTTCTAAAGTTTGTCGGGAAAACGTTTCAGAGACCGACAAGGAGCTATGGTTGACTCGGTGTGATCCTGCCCAAACAATGGGTGAACCTGAATATGGACAGGTGTTTTCTTTTTGTCAGATATTCGGCCTTCTTCAATGAAGTTCAACGTTCGACCCCCTCCGAGCGGGGCAGCCTGACACTGTCACATCTCCATACGCACTGCTCTGTGCTTGTGTCCCCGTCCGTGCCGTGACCCTGTCCATGCCGTGGCCCTGTCCATGCCATGGCCCTGTCCGTGCTCTGGCCCTGCCCATGCTGCGGCCCTGCCCGTGCTGCGGCGCTATCCATGCTGTGGCCCTGCTCGTGCTGTGCCTCCACCCGTGCTGTGGCCCTGTTCGTGCTGTCTCCGCCCATGCTGCGGCCCTGTCCGCGCTATGGCCCTGTCCGTGCTGTGGGACGTCCAGTGTGCTGAGCCGCGGTCGTCGTGATCGTTCATGTTGCGGCCGTGAGGGGGCGTGCACGGTCGTGACGCGGCGCTGGCTCGCCGTCCGCAGGCAGCCGCCGAGCCAGCGAGCGGGGCGGCATGCCCCCCAGCGGTAGAATCCAGGGCGCCAAGTCGGTGCCGGCCCTCAGCTGTAAGTACCGACCATGCCCGACGACCGGTTTCTTTGCGCGTGGGGAGGTGTTCGTGGACCGACTGGTGCCTTTGGTTGAACTCACGGCTTTGTCTGGCGGAGTGGTGGGGCTTCTCCCCCGTCATTCACGGCAAGGGAAGACGCTGTGACGAGTAAACTAAAAACCCCCAGTCGTTCTCAAGGTCGCTCATTGCCTGCGGGCCACCGTCGTGTCAGCTGGCTGGGTGGGAGGGCGTCTCGTGCCGCTGGCCTGTTCGTCATCCCCCGCTGTGCGTGTGCCGCAGCCGAGGCGGCCGACCGCGAGCCGGCGCCGCCGCCTGGCCGCCACCAGGAGACCTACAACCCGGGCTTCAGCCTGTCGGCGTCCAACGCCAGCCTGGCGGCGCTGCCGACCGGCCACGGGCCCCCGCCGCCGGCGCACGCCCGCTCGCGCTCCGTGCAGAACCTGCACAAGCCGGCGGCCGGCGGCGGCGGCGGTGGCGGTCCGGCGCCGCCGCCGCGCCCCATCTCCGTGCATACCCACTACCAGCTGCAGGCCGGCCAGGGCCAGGTGAGAGGCGCCGAGCGTGACGCCCGAGAGCGGTGGCGGTGCGCGACGAGGTGGTAATGCGGACGCGATGCGCGCGGCGCGGTGCTCGTTTGCAGAGCGTAAGCTGTCTGTGTTGTGTGCGGTTCCGTTTGTGTTGTGTGCGGTTGTCATGCCAGATCGCCGACCCTGCGCGCGATGCAGTGTGATCAGCTGATCTCCTGACGACCTCCCCGTCCTCGCGGCTGACCGTTGCCGTTTGCCGGCCGTGCAGATGGGGCCGCCACGGTCTGAGATGCCGCGCTCCGTGTCGGACCACGAGCACCTGCGCTACCGGCACCCCAGCGCCACCTACGGCAACACGCAGCCGGCGCCGTTCGCCGAGCAGCCGCCGGGCGGCCAGGACGAGCCGGCGCCGCCGCCTCTGCCGATGGGCGGCGCCGCCAGCCCGGCCGCCGCGCACTACGGCGAACGACCCGCACGCCACCGGCAACGGCCCGTCTTCCCCGTACGGCGAGCGGCCGCTGCCGCCGCTCGGCGGTGCCGGCGGCGTGGCGCCGTCCCCTACGGCGAGCGTCAGCCGCCGCCGCCGCACGGCGCCCACAACAGCGTGTCGTCGCCGTACGCCGAGCGGCAGCCGCCACCGGCGCACTTCGGCTCCAGCAGCGGGCCGCCGACGCCCGGCGAGCCGCCGCAGCCGCGGCTGCGCCACAGCCAGAGCGAGCAGGCCGGCTACGGCGAGCCGCTGCCGCCGCCGCCGGCGCCGGCGCAGCACGCCGCCCCCGTCGCCCGCTACGGCGAGCCGGCGCATGGCATGTCCGTGCGCTTCGAGGAGCCGCCACCGGCGCGGCCGCCGCCGCCACAGGACATGTACGGCGAGATGCTGCCGCCGCCGCCACCGCCGCCGCCGCCGTCCACACACCCGCTGTACGGGCAGCCGCCGCAGCGGCCGCCGCCGCCCGAACACCAGTCGCCCTACGACGCCGGCAACCCCTGGAACCGGGAGGAACGTGAAAAGGTGGGCGCTGTGCTGGCCGGTGGTCCATGGCTTGTGTGCAATGGCATATTTGACGTGATGACATGGTTTGTGACATCACATGGTACTTTGGCGGGACAAAGGGGGCGAGGAGAGGGGGGGGGGGCATGTCCTTGCCCCAAGGCTCAGGAAAGGTAAAACATGTTCCTGGGGCTGACTTGGAAGAGGCAGGGCTTTCTCGTTGTAGGCTTAGTTCGCGTAACTACCCCGCTCCAACTGCGGCGTTCCGTCTCCCCAACTTGGTGTTGGATTGGTCCATGTTGCCATGACTCGCATGGCGGCAAACGCGCTTGTCTCTTGAATGTTGGCGTGATGGGTCCACACGTGCCGTGCTCTGCGGGAGTCCCCGTGCCTCCGACCGCCTTCGTCGCGGGACAGCTGTCAACTAGGGCATCGCTGGGCATTGCAGCACAACCTGATACGCTGGCATGTGCTGAGCTGCGTGACGGGGCGTGTTGCGGCCGCCGTCCGTGTGGCCCGTCTGACGTGGTGCTGAGCGGCCCGTGACCGGCTCCGGTGCGCCTGGCGCAGGAGATGGTTGCGCCGGACGGAGGCGGAGCGCCAGTGGCGGGACCAGCACATCGCCCGCCTGGAGGCCATGCCCAGCCGGTCGCGGCGCGAGCAGCAGCAGCTCGACACACTGCTGCTCGAGAAGCGCTTCCAGCAGCGCATGGAGTTGGCTGGCGATGACGAGGACGAAGACAACGACGACAACCTGGTGAGGCGAGCGTCGGCGCTGCGCCGGCGGGTCGGCGGGGCTGGCCGGCGGACCGACGGGTCTGGCCGGCGGGCGGAAGGCGGAGGCACGCACCGGCCGGTGTCGTGATAATTACCCGTCGACATTCAGCCAGTGGCCGTGTTCCTGGTGTGCTGTTCTTTGTTGCCATAGTTGAGCATGGGCAGACTAGGCTTCTTATAAGTTACCTTTCTCTGAGCCGATTCGTGCTTAGTCGTACACAGAACGCAATGACCGCAGATCCATGCAAAAAACTAACAAGCCCAATTAGTTGACTATATTCGAGATGACAATCCCTCATCGGGTGACTAACCACGAATCTTAGATCCATCAAGCACAATAAATTACGATTGTGGTAGGAGTTGGCTGAACGCTACATTTCCGAATGTACTGAAACCCACTTCTCACTGTAGGGCAGACTATCCATTTTCTGTGGACAGTGTAAGAAATGTCAAGCACACCACCATATCACAAGAGCATGTGTACATACACGAAATACTCCAATACACCCGACATAACATCGCGGGAAAGTTGTGATGTTCATATAATCTCTATGCTAGGCCCGTTGTTGTCACAGAAGAGGCCAGCCAGCTAGGTTTTATTCATCCTGTCATCCAAAGGCAAAACCTGTCATGTTTATTTTTGGCCATTTTGCGTTTTTGTCGTCATTTAATTGATCTTCTCAAACTGAATTCTGCTATTTTAGCCCCAGTCAAGTGACATCAAACACTCAAAATGGCCAAAAATTAACATAAGGGGTTTTACTTTTACCTTTGGACGGCAGCATGACCGGTTAGGGCCCCGAGTAAGTGTGGTTTCTTGAAATTTTTCGCCCGACATGGCCATGGCACTTGAGAAATATTTTTCCCACAAGTGAAACATCAGGAAGGGCATCAGAACCATGGAGAGCACGGAAGCGAAGTCCAGTGAGGTTGCTGATGCCTTTTTAAAGGTGGCGCCGGGGGTGATGAAAATCCGTCTCTTACCGGGCGTATTCACTTCCCCACGTGGGTGACAGGGCAGTGTAGAGCTGACCTCATGACCCAGGTTACACGTCGCGCAGGTTTATCGAAGCCACGATAGGATAGTGTACGTTATCTTGGTGGGTTTGGGTTCAATCGTTCATCGATTAAGGCCAGACAGGCCGACGAAGGATGGTCACCCGAAATATAATAATACTGTTTGGGCTTATGTGTTTTGTTTGTTATTGGTCTTTTTGCACTTTATCGAGTCTGCTGTCAATGTGTTCTGTGTATGACAAACTATACTTATGTCGTTCTCGAACGGTGATTGTGTCTTGATCCTGATCGGGCTGAAGCGTGTCGGGTAATGTGCCGCGACTCCCGGCACGGGGCCTGACGCGCTCCTTGACCCGCAGACCTGGACGAGTCGCGCGCCGAGTCGGAGGCGCCGCCGCCGCCGCCAGTTGAGCCGCCACGTTCGGAGCCGGAGCGGGCGCGCCGCCGCCGCCGCCGCCGCCGCCAGGAGGAGGTGCGCGCCGCCAGCCGAGCTGGAGGCGGCGCACCAACCGAGCAGGAGCTCCTACGTGAGGCGGGCGCCGCCGCCAGGAGGAGGAGAGCGCGAGCGGGCGCGGCGGCGCGGGGCGCGCGCAGCCGGCGCCGCCGCCGCCCGGCCGCTCGGTTCGTTCGGCGCCGTGACGGCGGCCGGCGAGCTGCGGCCGCCGGCCGTTGCCGCCCAAGCCGGAAGTGCCGCGCGGTCTGTGGTGAGCACGCGCCGCGTGCAGCTAAGCGAGCCGGCCTCGCCGCCGCCGCCGCTGCAGCAAGCCGGGCGCGGCGCGCGAGGACCCGGACCGCTTCCTGGCGCGAGGCGCAGCAGATGATGGCAGGGTCGACCGTGACGCCGCCCGTCCTCGGCCGCCGCCGCCACCGTCGACATGGTCTGGACCCCAGGTGTTCATCGGCGCCCAGGAGGTTGTACAGGTCAGTGGGGGGGGGGG